TAAGCCCTAAGCCCTAAGCCCTAAACCCCAAAATCTAAACCCTAAACCCTAAACCCTAAACCATAAACCCCAAACCCTAAACCCTAAACCCTAACCCAATGAGTCCAGAGGAAGGCAGGGCCTGGGTCTGCAAGTGCTGGACCACGGTCATGCTATGGCGCTTGAACTCCTTAGTGAGCTAGGAGGGGGCCAAGGTTACTTTAGGGTTTAGGGTTTAGGGTTTAGGGTTTAGGGTTTAGGGTTTAGGGTTTAGGGTTTAGGGTTTAGGGTTTAGGGTTTAGGGTTTAGGGTTTAGCGTTTAGGGCTTAGGGTTTAGGGTTTAGGGTTTAGGGTTTAGGGTTTAGGGTTTAGGGTTTAGGGTTGAGGGTCTAGGGTTTAGGGTTTAGGGTTTAGGGTTTAGGGCGAAGGTATAGGGGGCCCGAAGAAATGGAAGAGGGTTTGGGGGGTCATTATGGTATAAGTTTCAAGGGACCATAAGGGAATATTATTAGCAATTATTCCGACCCTATATTACTTGGGGTTGAGGCTTATAGGGTACGACCAGCGGCCGTCTTTCCAACAACACGGAGGGTGTAGGGCAGTTGGAGCACTGGAGGCTTTAGAAGGGTTTAGAGGGCTTTAGGGTTACCCAAAACCCGACAGCACCTAGCACGTGGACCCAGCACCCGATGCAAACTAGCATCTGCAAGCTCGCCGCCCTGCGCCGCAATCGAGTCTCGCATGACCTCACGACCCGAAAAGGACTCATCCAACATCCGAGTGCAACCCCCACCACCCCCCCCCCCCAGGTACCAGTAGGGTCTACCGTTCAGCGCATGAGATGAAAGTGCAAATCGTGCAATGTGGGCAGACTACAGCAAAAACAGCTCTCGACTAGAATGCGCCCATTGCTAAGTCTGAAGAACTACTTGAAGGTTCAGGATACTTGTAACCCCAATTTAAACCCCAACTGTAACTGCACTTTTATAAGCCCCTCTAAGCCCTCTTAGCAGGTTATACGCAGACATATCATTGGTGATATGAGTACCCATTAAACCTCCAATTAAGCCTTAAACTCGAAGCCCTGAAACCTTACCTCTAGGGTTTGGGGTTTGGGGTTCAGGGTTTAGGGTTGCGGGTTTAGGGTTTAGGGTTTAGGGTTTAGGGTTTAGGGTTTAGGGTTTAGGGTTTAGGGCTAGACCTCTGAGTCAGCTCAGCCCCGGAACATCCAGTTCGGCGCGCTGGTTGTGGCGCGAGTGGCTTGCCTGGCTCTCACAGGGCTTCAAAGGGGGGCTTTACGCAGAGTCCAGAAAGCCTCAGCTGACTAAACCTTTGGCCCCCAAACCCTAAAGCCCTAAAGCCCTAAAGCCCTAAAGCCCTAAAGCCCTAAAGCCCTAAAGCCCTAAAGCCCTAAAGCCCTAAAGCCCCAAAGCCCCAAAGCCCTCTCAACCCCTATACCCTATACCCTAAACCCTAAACACCCCCCCCCCCCCCCCAAAAAAAAAGCAGGTTTGCGCGGCTTTGGGGCCAAGGTTTTCAGCCTCCTGGCCTGCTGTTGCAACTCAGAGAGCCACTGGGCCTGGGCTTGTTCTACATGTGCCGAAGTTGCTTAGCGGTTTAGGGTGTAGGGTTTAGGATTTAATTCGTGGCTTTGGGGCTTAGGGCTCAGGAAGTAGGGTTTAGGAGTTTGGGTTTAGTATAGGGTTGAGGGCAGGGTTCAAGAATTAGGGTTTAGGGCTTGGCGTTTGGGAACTTGGTTTAGGGGTTCTACGGGAAAAATAAGGCTCACGGTCCAAGGCTCTAACAGCTCTCTCTGCCTTGGGGAAGGGGTTGCTGCTTGGCAGCTTCGTGTCTGTAGGGTTTAAGGAGTTTTGGGGGTTTAGGGTTTAAGCCTAAAACAGGGTCTTGGGGCTTTTTGGTGCCATGAGCCCGCGGGGGAATAGCACACGAGGAGCATAAGTGGAGGGAGCGACTGGATTCCCAAACACCCCCCCCCCCTGCTCCCGGGGCATTTGTCCCCCCCCCCACAGTTAGGATACTCTTGTCCCCGATATGCAGTAGCCCTAAACCCTACACCCGAAACCCCAAACACGCAAAACCGAAGCCCAAGTGTCGTAGGCCATGACGGTGGAATCCACATCATTGAGGGCCAGGGCGGACGGAGAACCAAAGCCAGGAGGACTGGCGGAGCCTCCCCGCTCGCCTGGAGGAGGGTTTGGGGTTTCGGGTTTAGGGTTCGGGGCTTAGGGTGGGTTTAGGGTTTGGGGTTTGGGGTTTGGGGTTTGGGGTTTGGGGTTTGGGGTTTGGGGTCTGGGGTTTGGGGTTTAGGGTCTGGGGTTTGGGGTCTGGGGTTTGGGATTTGGGGTTTGGGGTTTGGGGTTTCGGGTTTCGGGTTTCGGTTTGGGGTTTCGGGTTTGGGGCTTTGGGCTTTGGGCTTTGGGCGGGCTTTGGGCTTTGGGCTTTGGGCTTTGGGCTTTGGGCTTTGGGCGTTGGGCTTTGGGCTTTGGGCTTTGGGCTTTGGGCTTTGGGCTTTGGGCTTTGGGCTTTGGGCTTTGGGCTTTGGGCTTTGGGCTTTGGGCTTTGGGCTTTGGGCTTTGGGCTTTGGGCTTTGGGTTTTGGGGGGGCTTTGGAGGACAGTGTTCTGAAGTTCTGAAGCCGGCTACAGATTTGAGAGGTCTGCCACCGTGTGCAAGAGAGCTCTCTTATTGTTCCCTCCATCTCTTCATCTCTTCTATTGACCTCTCTGTCTTTATAGCTCGACCTTTCGACCTCTCACCTATCGACCTCTCTCCTTCCTTCTCTTCCTTTCTTTCGAAGGGCTCTGTATTGCTGTCTCCCTCCCTCACTAGGATCGAAAACTGCACCTATACGAGCACGCAGAGACCCGGAAAGCCACAAGTATACCGATAGACCCCGACGATTTAGGGCTCAGGGTTTAAAGAAAGCACTTAATAACTTCCTGATCCCTCAGCAAGGGCTGCTGGATCACACTATGTGGTGGGGTTGTGTCGATGTTACTTGTGAACATGCCCGAACAAGACGCGGCGTGCCCGAACAAGACCGCGGCGATTCTACTCAACACCCAACCCATTAACCTTTAAGCCCTAAACCATCACTAGCTGTCAACTGAGGCAGAAATCAATTTGAGCCCTACACTCGGCAAATCCGTCAAACCGTAGACCCTATACGCCCTCACACCAACCCTACAAGCCACATAAACCAATGCACCCGACAACCCTCCCCCCCCCGCCACCAGAACAGAACAAAAACCTCCCCAAACCCCACAACCACCAATCCACCGAATCCCCCCGACTCCAAGAATCTAGAACTCTAACAGCATCCCCTCGCCCCCAATTCATCCCACCCCGCCCTCCCCGCTCCCTCCTCTCCCCGAAAAAAAACAAACAAAAACCTCAACCTCAGACCCCAAACCCTGTCACCCCAGTCCCCCTCCACCTAGACCCTAAACCCTGCACCCTAAGCCCTAACCTAAGCCCTAAACCCTAAACCCTAAACCCTAAACCCTAAACCCTAAACCCTAAACCCTAAACCCTAAACCCTAAACCCTAAACCCTAAACCCCAAACCCCGCCTCCGCGCGCTTTGGGGCTCACCGGCCGCCGCAAGTCCATGGCGCGTCACAGGGTCGGCCGGAGCCGCCCTTCCCCCCCCACACGGAGGCTTCGAGGGGGTGGTACTAGCAGAGTTTCACAGAGTTGTATAGGGCTTCCAGGCTAGGTATTTAGGGGCTTTACAGGGCTCTTACGGCAGGTGTTTAGGGCCTAAATGTTTACGAGCAAGTAGAGTTTGGGATCTTAGGGTGTCGCAGATTTGGCAGGTGGTCGTCAAACCAAGTCACTCGGGTTTAGGGCTCATGGGTTGAGGGTTGAGGGTCTAGGGCTTACAGCAGCGCTTAAGGGGTTTGGAATTCAGAGTTTGAGTTTTGGGGTTTAGGGTTGGGTTTAGGGCGTTTAGGGTTTTAGGCGTTAGGGTTTCGGGCTTGCGGGGATCGATGAGTCTGCTGTAAGCCTTGTCTTCTGCGGGCGAAACCCATGCAGAACCGCAGCCGCCGGAGACCTCAACCCCTGAGACCAAAAGTCTTTAAGCCCAAACCCTGAACCCTAAGCTCCTGAATCCTAACACCCTAAGCCCTGAAACCCCAAACCCTAAGATCCTACCCCAACCTCTGTAAAGCCTCAAGCCCTTAATCATACGTCCCCGCTCGAACCACAGAATCTTGCAGAAGAAGTATTTCAGTGAGCCACGCAGACAATAATATTATGCGGGAGGAAAGAACCTGCAAGAAATCCTTTCTCAAGAGCGACCGCCGCGAGAGAAGCAAGACTCGTTCGCTCTGTAAGACCCTAAGTCTCATGTCGTGGTGTAACCGCTCAGGGTTTAGGGTTTAGGGTTTAGGGTTTAGGGTTTAGGGTATTTAGGGTCTTGGAATCTTTTAGAGTCGGAGGGGGAAAACGGGGTATGTAACCCGAATACTCCCCACTACTCCCTATGACTCGCTAAGTTTCCGAAGGTTCTCTAGCTACCTACGCCCCATGAACCCTCCCTCCCTGAAGGATCCTCCAAGAATCTCATGCCGGGTTAACCCTCTACAAGCCATACAGTTTTTTAGGTATCAAATACAAGCGGGACGTGGTTGACTTGAGGTGAAAATCCTGAAAGGCGTGTCAGGATATTGACTTCTACACGTAGACCTAGACCCGCATCCCTGGTGTTTACCCTAGCGCCCTAAACCCTAAACCCAGACACAACCTTAAATAACAGGCATGGGACTCCCCCTGGCATGATCTTCGTAAGAACATGTGGTTGACTATCTATCAACATTTTCCTGGAATCTCCAACTCCGCGACTCGCGACCCTTATCCCAGTCCCTACCGCAACCCCTAAAACTAAAACTCTAGAAACCTGCACCCCCAAATCCCAAAAAACCCTAAACGCCCAAAATCCCAAGGGCCCACAAATACCCTCAGCTAAGCCGGCTGTGGGGACTCCCAAGGCCGCAGCGGGTCGAGATTGAGCAGCACTGCCTTGGGAATCAGGGTGCTGAGGTTAGAGATGGGATCCTCGTGAAGAACCAAGAAGGGAACATGACAACTAGGCAATTGTGCCAAGGTCCTACCCAAAATCTGCAGAGTTTTTTTGGGGACCCCCTAAACCCTAAATCCAAAACCCTAAACCCTAAACCCTAAACCCGAAACCCTAAACCCTAAACCCCAAACCCCAAAACCCAACCCTAAACCCTTTAGGCCGGTCTGAGTCGTTCAAAGCCGAGAGAGCCCCTTCGTGGGCTTCTTCGAGTAGTTCCTACCGGACCCTAGAAGTCCCGAAGCCCTGGACCCTGAACTATGAAGGGTTTAGGTTAGGGTCCGCCGACCCTGGCGGCGTGTTGGATGGGAAAAGGAGGTGAAAACCTCCCTCTTGCCCTCCTTACCCCAAAACGCGGGGGGGGGGGGTACTCATGGACCAGAGGCGTTTTCGCACATCCCACCCCCCCTACCCCCCCCCCCAACCCCCCCTACCGCCCCCCCCACCCCCCCCTTACCCCCCCCCCCCCCCCCCCCCCCCCCCCCCCCCACCCCCCTACCCCCCCCCCCCAACGGGAACCGTAAACAAAATCACCAAAACCCCAAACCTTAAACTTGTTCTCCTGCGGGGTCGGCGGCTTGAGCCGGAGGCTCTTAAATTTAGGGTTTAGGGTGTAGGGTTTAGGGTTTTTAGGGTGTAGGCTTTAGGGTCTTCCTCCTATGAATGGACAGATTACGTAACCCTGAGCCACACATAGCTCGAGTGCCCTAAGCCTCCTCAGGGGCCTCCAGAAATCAGGCCCTGAGAATCCATCCTCCATAGTAGGAACCCACTTTTGCAGACATATTCCCACTATTGAACATGATCGGGTGTACATGTCGTGGGCTTGCATTTCGCAAGACACTAGCAATAGGTGGTGGTATCGCATTCGTAGAAGCATAAGTTGGCAGTGGATAGTACCTCCTTGCCTCGTCTCCCTCATTCCCAGCCCTGACATCTTCGAGGAAACCCGAAACCCTAAACCCTAAACCCTAAACCCTACACCCTAAACCCTAAACCCTAAACCCTAAACCCTAAACCCTAAACCCTAAAGTTCTGACATTCTATTGTACATGAGAGCCCGTCGCGTATTCTCGCACATTCATGTTTCTATAGCATATGACAATGCCATGGCGGCATTTTTGACATTGGACATGCTTGGCGTGTAGTGCTTGGAGGGGGTTCGGTCAGTTCAAGGCTAGAAGGAAGGAACCCCTCAAACCCTAAACCGCCAAACCGAAAGAAGAAGCCTAACCCCCACCCCACCTCCTTAAGCTCCGACCACCGCCCCGCTTGCTTTGGGAACTGCCGTTAGATATCTTGGAAGTCGAGGTAAGCACCCCAAAGTTCAAACGCAGCCTGAGGTGGGCGCAATCACCTGGTCCTTGCACAATCGCTGGGATATAGCCTCATGCGCCATCGTTGGGGTGGGGGGTTAGGCTTCTCCAAACGGGGTGCAAGGGCCTCATCTGGGTGCCCTTCTTTTGTTCAAGATTCCACCCTAACCCCCGAAACCGCCAGCTGTCGAGACAAGGATTCGAATGACTACGTAGGACTGAGACGTTAAGGTTGCCAGGATTCTGGGAATCTATAACGTTGGTCAGAGAGCGCTGCAAACTATGATGCCAGGACGCCACTCCTCCCAACGGCTTGTGGAGCTCCAAGACCACCCGTTTAGGGTTTACTGTTTAGGGTTTAGGGTTTAGGGACTCTGAAACCGATGTCTTACAGTCTTACAGCGTCAAATCAAAAACGCACAAATAACCCTCCCCCCCCCTCCCAACCCCCCTTGAACCCCAGTCCCTTACACCGAAGCCTCAAACCTCAAAGCCATCAACCCTAAAGATCCCACACAGGTCCGCCCCTCCCCCCCAAACCCTAAACCCTACGCCCCCTTGAAAGCCCTGTATGAGGCCCCCCTGAAGGCCTAAGGTTCAGGTTTGGGAACCCAAGAGCCTACATGGGGTTTAGGGTTTAGGGTTTAGGGTTTAGGGTTTAGGGTTTAGGGTTTAGGGTTTAGGGTTTAGGGTTTAGGGTTTAGGGTTTAAGGTTTAGGGTTTAGGGTTTAGGGTTTAGGGTTTAAGGCTTCTGATGCTCCAAGGGCTAAACTGCAAAACCCCCCCGACTCTCGAGTAGAGGGTGGCTAAGACGCTGACATGGCGCGTCTTCCCGGAGTAGAAGAAGCCTTCAAGGAGGGTAAAAGTCTGGAGGCCTAAGAATCCCCTATACTATAGTCAACCCCCTAAACCCTAAACCCTAAACCCTAAACCCTAAACCCTAAACCCTAAACCCTAAACCCTAAACCCTATACAAGGGCCTTTTTAAGGGGGTATGAGAGCCCATCCTGGTTCAAGGAGGGGAGTCTGGGGGTTTGGGGCTTGGGGCTATGAGTTTGGGGAATTCCTGCGGCCACTTGCGTTACATTGTCGTGAAGTTCGGCTTCGTTCGATAAGGCCCGACTTTGCGCAACCATGCTCCCGAAGTGGTTGTCCAAGATCGTTCGATAAGGCCAGAGATTCCGCAACAATGCTCCGGAGGTCGTTGTGGAAGATCGTTCGAAAAGGCACTGTTGGGAGCTTCAGGTTTCTTTTTGGAGGGGAGGCAGGCGGGGGGAGGGCTACTTGGGCTTTTGGGGGGGGGGGGGGTGTGCAGCTTAAATAGGGTTTATTTGGAAGCTGGCACTCGTGTTCACAAGAGGAAAAAAGGCCCCAAAACGTATACTTATTTACAAGAGCCAACTTCCAAATAGACCCTATTTTAGGTCCTAGGGGGGGTCCCAGGCCTGAATTAAATATGAAGGCCCCGATTTAAATATGAATATTTAATTCTGGAGCTTCATATTTAAATTATTTAATTCGGGCCCGGGAATTAAATAATTTAAATAATTTAAATAATTTAAATAATTTAAATAATTTAAATAATAATTTAAATAATTTAAATAATTTAAATCCTGGAGGGGGGGGGGGCGGGCCTCCTCCCGCAGGAGGAATTAAATAATTTAAATATGAAGGCCCCGAATTAAATATTAATATTTAATTCGGAGCCTTCATATTTAAATTATTTAATTCTTCCTGCGGGAGGAGGCCCGGCCCCCCCCCCCTCCAGGATTTAAATTATTTAAATTATTTAAATTATTTAAATTATTTAAATTATTTAAATTATTTAAATTATTTAGATTATTTAAATTATTTAAATTATTTAATTCCCGGGCCCGAATTAAATAATTTAAATATGAAGCTCCCGAATTAAATATTCATATTTAAATCGTGGCCTTCATATTTAAATTATTTAAATCGGGCCCGGAAATTAAATAATTTAAATAATTTAAATAATTTAAATAATTTAAATAATTTAAATAATTTAAATCTGGGAGGCCCGAATTAAATATTAATATTAATTCGGGGCCTTCATATGTAAATTATTTAATCTTCCTGGGCGAGGAGCCCGCCCACCCCCCCCCCTCCAGGATTAATTATTTAAATTATTTAATTCCCGGGCCCGAATTAAATAATTTAAATATGAAGCTCCCGAATTAAATATTCATATTTAAACCGTGGCCTTCATATTTAAATTATTTAAATCGGGCCCGGCAATTAAAAAATTTAAATAGTTTAAATAATTTAAATAATTTAAATAATTTAAATAATTTAAATTATTTAAATCCGGGAGGGGGGGGGGCCGGGCCTCCTTTTGCAGGAGGAATTAAATAATTTAAATATGAAGGCCCCGAATTAAATATTCATATTTAAATCGAGGCCTTCATATTTAAATTATTTAATTCCTCCTGGGGGAGGAGGCCCCCCCCCCCCTCCAGGATTTAAATTATTTAAATTATTTAAATTATTTAAATTATTTAAATTATTTAATTCCCGGGCCCGAATTAAATAATTTAAATATGAAGCTCCAGAATTAAATATTAATATTTAAATCGGGGCCTTCATATTTAATTCAGGCCTGGGACCCCCCCTAGGACCTAAAATAGGGTCTATTTGGAAGTTGGCTCTTGTAAATAAGTATACGTTTTGGGGCCTTTTTTCCTCTTGTGAACACGAGTGCCAGCTTCCAAATAAACCCTAGTTGAAGAGCACACCCCCCCCCCCCCCCCCAAGATCTACACCCTCCTTGTCTACACTACTCTTCTGCTTGCTTCCATGCACTTGTGTACAAATAGCGCCCGCCGAAAACACGGTGAATACCGATAAAATACGTGACACATCGTGCATGCAAAATGTATATCAATCTGCAACCGAATTTCGGCTTTAAAATTATATGACCTTCTGGTGGAGAAGAGAGCGGGGTGCTCCTCGCACTCACCATCTTTGAAGCACATGTAGCCCCAGCCTGTCTTGAAGTCCTTGATGTGATCCGCACATGGCTGGGCCTGCTGCGCTCTGTCGTAGAGCATCAATGGAAGCCGCTCCTTTTTGGTTTCCTGGAAATACTGTTCCACCGCAGAAACTGCGGCCGCGCAGGCCGCGATCATCAGCAGGTCGACACCACCATCCACAATACTCCTAAGGCCAAAAATCCTGGAAGGTATAGCAGTCTTGCTGTTAGCACCTTAAGAAACTTGTGTTTTTTTCGTGTTTTTCCTGCGGTCCCAGTATCCTTCATTGCTCACCCGAAGCAAGCTGAAAAAAGGAATTCGTACTAAACCGACAAAACCGGTAGGTACTTAGTATTGAATGTCTATGCAAAGAATATTGCATTGGTGCGCTTTAAAGATGTTCTACATGTTTCACTAGTCGTCAATTTGCCTATTTGATCAACATTTCGCTTGGAAGAATCGCTATTTCTTTAGAAAAAGAACGAATTGCTTAAGAACAAGGGGGGTCGGACTGCAGACTCCTTCATGGCCGCAGCTTCCGCCACGGACCCCCAGCGGCGACGCACCTGCGCGCGAGCGACCGAGTGTCTGACAAAACTTCCGTCGCAGACCCTCAAGGGCTGAGCTTCCAACGGCCCTCTCGATTTGTTCCACGTCCCAGTCCTTGCCGTCGTTGGCAAGATCACGCGCTTGCGACAAGACCTCTCTCGCAAGTGGGTCAGCTTACAGAACGAACCCCAAGACTGCGACGGTGCGTTAGAGTCACTCAATATAGAGCGCTAGGGGGCACCGCAAGTGTGATCCACGCCATGACCTGCAAACTCGGCTCTACACGACCAAAACTATATGCACTTGAATGGACAAGGCGCGCTGCGGAGGTCGACGACTGAGGACAGGACGGGCTTGTGGACAAAGGAACGGTGTCGCAAAGGCTGTAAAGCAAGAGAAGTGCAGCCGCGAGTTCTCAGGGAGAGGCTGCAAGCTGTGATGAGTATAACATAGCAAAATGCAAACAGCTCGCTCTCAGGCTCCCACATGCTCCCACTGCCTCGGGTTGTAACCTCGAAATCAGAGCACAGTGCGCAGGAGTTCTTGCATGCTTCTGCGTCGGCCGCGAATCTTGCTAGAGCCCTTCTCCCTGTAGGGCCGAAGCGGCACTCGGACAATGGTGGTCTCCCTCACGCAGGTCATGCGGCTCCAGTGGCCGCAGAGGGCGTTGTTCTCGTTCTCCGCGCGGAGTTCCCAGCTCAGGAAGCCCTTATGAATCAGTACGTGGACCTGCGCACGGGCGAAGTACGTACTCGCGCAGATGCAACTTAGTGACCTAATGCTTGAGATGACTCAGCCTACCTCCGCGCCCAACACCAATCCACCCAGGCCCAGCGTGACCCGCACGGTTTTGCGGGAAGGCGCCTTCGTGAACTTGCGCGCGCTTTTGATCACAGGCATGACCTTGGGAGTCAGGCATGACAATTCAGTAGCTCATATCACGACGTGATGTCCAGCTCACGCGCCTTAGCCAAGGAGCTGTGAGTGGCGGCAGGAAGGATGCAAAGCAACGCTGCTGAGCAAGACGCTTCAAGGAAACGGGTGGTACCTTCAAGCACTGCCAGATACTATGTCCGAACCATCTGAACGCTAAGTCTTTTTGTCTTTCATTTTGTGACGATGCCGTTACTTGCCCGTAGGGCACGCAAAAAAGGCAAAGCATTTTGTAAAAAAAGGGCACGGCTGAAATTGCCAGGATCCGTGTCTTCCGAGATTTTGCGTCTCGCCGATACTACGCCCTGGCTAACTCAATCTTAAGATTGGGCTTCCGTGGCTGCCTAGCATACTCGGCAGACTCCGATCGAAAAGCAGGTATAATTTTGCTAAAACTTGCCATGGGCAAAAAGAATCGTTTTTGTCAGGGGACTAAGCAGGCAGCCTGTTCGGCATGGCCGGCTGGTGTATCGAAACACCTGAAAACCCAAAAGTCCAAACTTCGACAGGGATTCTCCCGAGGTTTTCGGATTTATGAATTTCGGAGAACTATGATCTTCACGAGGAAATAATAGGTGTCTAAGAAATTATGTGCATTTTTGAGCTTGTCTGTGTGAATTGTGTGTTTTAGACATAATATATTCTGTACAAGTGGTATATAAATAGTGCGTGAGTAGTGTTTTTGATTATTATGTAATGAAAACTGTTTTGTTATAGTCAAATCTGGTACACATAATCGTTGTGCTCCAGTCGTCTTCGTTGAAAACTCTACGTTTCTAGGAAAATTATGTATTTGTAAGCTTGTCGGTGCTGTTTAAGAGTTCTACGTTTCTAGGAGAACTGTGCGCTTGTAAGCTTCTCTATGCGAACTGTGCGTTTTAGACATAAGGCTAGGATACTTCACTAGCCTCTTTCATATGGTCTTAATTCAATATTGTTGCCGCACTAGGTATTTAGACAAGTAAGTATTTGCCTGGGCTTGGGACAAGCACTGCTTCTCCAGAAACAGAACGAATTGCTTAGCAAAACGCTTTGTCTATGAAATTGCAGTATTTGTCCAGATTGCCGAGAACAATCCCTATATTTTGTACTAGAAGGAACAAAAGCTAGGATAGTTCACTCGCATCTTTCATATGGTATTAGTTGAATTTGCCTAGTACAGGCACTGTGTATCCAAAAAAGCACAGTACCCTAGGTTTGTGGGCATGCGCTATTTCCCCACAAGACAAAAACAAATCAGACAAACCAAAAACTTACAAACCAAAAACACCAAAACCAAAAAAAACTCAAAACAACAAGAACAACAGAACAACCATCTTTTTGAGACTCTTGGAAAGACGAAACAAAAAAAACACAAACCAAACAACCAAAACCAA